TTGATTAAGTGGCTATAATGTTTTCAGGGTTGATAATTCACTGGGTTGACTAAACGAGCTCAGGATAGTGCAATTCTTACAACTACAGCTTCAACATAAAGCTATAAATCAGGACCGTCCAGATGGAGAGATGGGCCTGAAAGTCTCGAATTCGAATCTGTGCTCCCTCCCTGCAGAATCAGGGCTCATCACACTCTTGGCACAACGACTATTCATCTACTGGGCAGCTCTCCTGAGCTCGTGTCTAGGTTGTTACAAAGGCTTCATCACTACGCACAATTAGTTGAATCACTGGCCCAGAGGTTGAGTTCAGTCTCCACCTCCTCTCTCCTCCCACAGGTCAGACTGGCTCAATGGGCTGATCCTCTAAACACATGATCAGTCTTCCTGGTGCCCAGTTCCCACCTTGAGTTGTCTCATTAGCATAAATCACTGTGTGAGCATGGGGGGCTTATGAAGACAAAGTTCCAAGCATTTAGGAAGCTCCATGCCAAAATCCTGGAACAAAGACCAGACAAATTCGTTATTATACCACAGAGTTGAAAATCCTGAATTTTATTTAAAAGTTATTAGCTTTGGTACGAGCAGGTAGTGTGGTGGTTAAGGTACTGGACTCCCACATGACCCAACGCGGTTCAAGTCCTAGACCTGGTGGCTTGCTCTTTCTTTCTCTCTATCGCTCTCATTCCCACTGTTTCTTTCTGGTGAGCACATGTGCCCTATGGCAAATTAAAATAATAATAATGATAATAAATTAACTGTGAAAAAAAAAAACTATCAGCTTTGTGATGCCTGTGATTCACGGAAGCGGAGATAACAAAGATGCATTTGGAAGCACAAGCTTAGAAGCAGTATGTGCAGTGGAAATGAAAATGTAGGAATTAATAGCATGAGGGTGGAATTCAAATAGCTGAGAATGAGAGAAACCCTAAACGACACAGGGCCCTAAGCCCTGGAGATCCTCATACTCAGAAGTGGAGTGCAGGGGCCAACAGGCGGCATGTGGTTGAGGTCGGAACTCCCACATGGTTGACTAAGGTTTGAATCCCAGACCTGGCTGCTTACTTTCTCGCATTCTGGCTCTCTTCTTTCTCTTTCTCTGGTGAGTGTGCATGCCCTATAGCAAATTAAAAAATAATTACAAAGATAAATAAAATTTAATAAATAATTCATTAGAAAAAGGAGCAGAATAGAGGAAGTACAGTAGGGGAAAGGAGGGAATCTGATGGAGGATGGTGATCTAGAAATCAAAACAAGCACACACAGAGGAGAGGAGGACACAGGAGGAGATGCTGCTTGATGCTGATGTCACCGGATGCTGACTGTTTCAGGTTCAATACATATAAAAAAGAACAGTGGTGCTTGGGAGTAAATTGCACACATAATGCTCCCTTACTCTGAAAAACTTCAGTGTTATCTTTTTTTTTTTCTTGGGAGATTTTTGCTATCGGGTGCGTGCACTGGCCAGAAAGACAGAGAGAGACAGAGAGACAGAAAGTGAGAAATCATCCCCCGGGGGGATGGCCACATCGCAACTGCTTCTCCCCCATTCTCCTCTTGGGATCTTGGGCACACACGCACATGTGTCTGGCGTGAGTTTAAGCCACCAGGTCCAGGACTCAAACTGCAGACAACTACATGGGAGTCCAGCGACATAGCCATTAGGCCAACTGCTGGTCCCTTTGGTGTTGTCTTCTAAGACCAAAAATATATTTTCTTACATGTAAATCAGGAAATTAACATTAATTCAATACCATAATCAAATCCAGCAGTTCTTTGATTTATCTATTTTTATTCAGAGAGATTTCACTATAGGGCACGTGCGCTTGTCAGCCAGAGAAAGACAGAGCCAGAAAGTGAGAAATCACCCCCCAGGGGGAAGGCCACACTGCAATCCCTTCTCCTCCATTCTCCTCTCAGGATCCTGCACACGCACCTGACATGAACTTCAGGTCACTGAGGGCCACCCTTCCCGGACCATCCTGACTACATCCAGTATCTGGGCTCTGCGTTAGTCAACCTGAGTCCCTGCTCCATCCTGCACTGGATCTACCGCCAGGCCCACAGCCTGCTCTGTAGCTTCCTGTCATGGTCCAGCACTGCTACCAGGGTGGAGTCAAGTACAGCTGGACTACGTGAGGCCAGCTGGGCAGCCTCCGCCAGGCCCCAGCCCCTGACACCCTGTGGGGCCTGTTTTCCCTTCCATCCCACTCTGCTCTTTTGTGAGGGGCTGGTGGCCAGCTGTAGACCCAGTGCTATGTGGACTCAGAAGCAAAGCATTGTGGGCATGTCCGGAGTGCACCAGGCTCCTAAAAGTACACAGCAGGATGGGGACTGCTTCCAACCAGCAGTCCCCAGCCTTCCTAGCACCAGGGACTTCGCTCATGGAAGATCATCTGTCCACAGATGTGGGGCTTGGTCCCGGGATGACCCAAGCACACCACACACCCCACTACCACACTAGCACATTGTAGTATACGATGAAACGATTACACAATAGAGTCCACACTCCTGTGAGAATCTGATACCACAGTAATCTGACAGGAGGTGGGGTCCAGGTGACAACGTGAATGCTGGGGAGCAGGTGCAAAGAGATGAAGCCTTGCTTGCTCACTGGCTCGCCACCTACTTCCTGTTACGTGGCTCGGGATGGACGAGGAGACAATAGGCCATGGACTGGTACGATCTAGCAAGCTGGGGATCAGGGCCAGCGCGGCTCCTGACCAAATCAGAAATGTCACCAAAGAGAGCTACCTCGAGCCCCTAGTCAGAGTTTAGTCTGTTCACTCCCTGAACTGTTTCATTGAGATGGTTACTAAGATGATGCGGTCACATAGTTCAAAGCTGGAAAAGTTCATGAAGATCAAGTACTTCTGGGGCTGGTAGGTGGCATGATGGTTAAAGGTGCTGGACTCCCACATGGCCGACTGTGGTTCGAATCCTGGACCTGGGAACTTGCTTTCTTACCTTCTCTCTCTCTCTCTCTCGCTCTCAGTCTGTCCCTCTCTGGTCAAATTAAAATAAATAAATAAATAAAGTTAAATAGAATACTTCTTAAAAAAAAAAACAAGATCAAGTACCTCCTAAAAATAGTTGATTTCTTTCCTTCAGGAATTCCAAAAGCCCTTGACATGTGTTGGGTACTATTCAGCTCCAAAAAATATATTTGATCATGAGATGCTTTTGAAATTGAATAACCTACCAACGTCTCACTTCAAATTATGAAATGCTGTACTAGAAGTTACGATCATAGCACTTTCTGATCTTGTACCATGAGCTGTTTGTTCTTTCAGGTTCCTGATATCCTCTTGAAAGAAAACAGTCCCAGTGGGAGGTTGGCAAGACCAAATGGAGGTGTAACACTGAATGGGGGCAGGAGCCCTCATCTCACCCTTCCTTGGGAAGCTCAGGCTCTCTCTGACCTCTGGGAACTAGTAATGATTCCAACAAGAACAAATGGTCTGCTCTCGGTTGTCAATGAAGATAATTCTCTGGGTATGAACGGCATTACAAACGTTTCTGGAAGGAACTTCCAGCAGGAGGTGGTGTAGTGGTTAAGGCATTGGACTCCCACATGGTCGACTGACCGTGGTTTGAGTCCTGGACCTGGAGGCTTGAAACTCATCCTGGCATGTGTGTGTGTGTGTGCCCCAAATCCCAAGAGGAGAACAGAGGAGAAGGGTCTGTGGCATGGGCATCCCCCCTTGGAGGGTGATTTATGTTTCCCCATCTCCCTCTATCTCTCTGGCAAGTGCATACTCCCTATTGCAAAAATCTCTCTCTCAAAAAATCTCCCCAAAAAACCTCACCAAGTTTTCCTTTCTGTTTCTGTTGTGTTCTGAGAGATGCACAAGATGCTTCAGACTTTCTTTTTCTTGACATTTTTGAAGAAACCTGACTAGTAATCTTGTAGAATGCACTTCAGTTTGGGTTTGTTGGTGTTTCTTTATGATTAGGTTTAGGTTACAGATTTGGGACACAAATTCGTGTCTTTCCCAGTATGACATCAGGAAGTATAGATGTCTGTGGGTGTCATTCTTTGTGAGGCTAACTTTGATGACTTCATTAAGCAATTTAGTATTCAGTAGTTAACAGTAAGCATACTAATTTGTAGTCTTTTCTGGCCAAATGATGGTTCTTTGCTCTCCTTTTCAATGCTTTTTCTACACTCCCCAATGCTCTTAGAGGCCTAGTAGGTGAAGACACCCTGAGATGGAATTATTTTGTAATCAGTGACAATTAGGGTAACAGCTTCCCAGCCCTTTCCAGCCTTCTAAGCACTTTTACATGGTCCATTTCATTGAAATCTCCTAAGGACCTTGAAGGGCTAAGTGTTAGCCTGTATTAGAGGAGGACTTAAAATGCTAAAATCGTACACGTGTATTTACTACCATGACATGGCTAAGTCAAATTAATAGTTAAACGGTTAAGTGGCTATTTATGGAAGCAGACTCTCTCTCTCTCTTTTAAAAATAATTATTTTTTATTTAACTTTATTTATTATTGTTATTATTGTCCGATTTGATCAGAGACAGAGACAGACTCTTTCCTATCAGGTATCTGAGATGCTGAGTCAGGAAGACAAGGGAACAACAACTTGGGAGGGGAAATTGGACACATTAGGAACAGGACTCAGGACAAAGCTGAGTTTCAGGGATGACCGACTCTCAGACCCTAAGATGTGGGAGAAAAAGCCAGTGCACAGACTCCGGGCCAGGTAGCAAGTGGAGTCTGGCAGGGAATGAGGACCGCTTCGAGAGGTTGTGGGATTCAAGGGCTTGGGCGGGGCCCACCTGTAGGAGGGCGGGGAGCTCTGGGGGCAGGACCTATCAATGATGGGCTGCGGTATGGCTGGGCCGCAGGGGGCAGTGACTGACATAGGCGGAGCCAATCGGTGGGCGGGCGGGCTTCTAGCTAGGCC